TGTTACTTTCTTAAGTTAAAATTAAGATAATCCTTTAACATATTTATCAAATCTCTGATGTTTTTTAATCGAGTTTTACCAAACCGTATTGATTTTTGAAAATTATCAAATAAAAAATTCAAATATTTGCTGATTACTGCTTGTTGCTTTTCTTTTGCGTTTCAGTATATTATTCAGATAGAAAGTTCATGAAGTTATAGTATAGGTTTTAATTTAAGACAGATAAAACACGTAACATTATATTTTGTCCATTTGTCAGTTGCATATTCTACGTACGACCAATTTCTAAAACTAAGTAAGCTACAGACAAATAATGATGATAAACGGTATCAAATTCTCGTTTAAAGTCATCATTTTGAAAAATAAATGGTAGGCACGATGACCTCGCTGCAAATATTACCTCTCTTCTGATAGCTAGAATCTTTCCCGACTTCTTTCATTCAAATTGTTCGGTCATTCTTTTCTTAATGAATTATCTATGGATTTTTCCATTTACCCGATCGTATCAAGTTGCACACAGCCGGTGTTATTGGTCGATAGGGATGCTTACTCATTTTTGATACCTGATCCCATTTCAGTTTTCAAATGTACTCGTCTGCTCTGCTCACAATTTTTATTGCTTAGAGCATGATTACTATTTACTATCTTTACATTTCATTGTGATAGTATCATAATTATTAGGACCTTATATGGTGATGTGTTTATTTCAACCTGATGTACCTTTTGAGAAAAGACAATGATTTATGGAGATAAGAACAGTATTCATGCTCAAAAGTCCTTTGAAACAATTTAAATTGTAAACAAAGCAAAAAAGACCTTCATCACTTCATTTTCCCTAGGGCTCTGCAATTGGATCGAAACCGTTTAAGGAATAGGCAAAACAAACAAAACCTAATGAACAAGTTTATATTTTTCGAAAATTCTACAGTCGATACAATTGTATTGCTAATACAATCTGTCGTTAGGTCGGATGTTGACTTACGTGTTTTGTAAAAATTATTTGCCTTTTGTTTCCATGATATAAACTTCCCGTGGGTTTTCTCCATTTATCCAATCATGACAGGGGAATCACTCGTCCATTGCATCTGGTTCCAACCTCTTACGTTGTCAAAGGTCTTTGTAAGCCCTGCCCACGTGTTGTTTAATTTTACTTTGAGCATGATTACTGTTTGTAATCCTCACATTTGATGTTAACAGTAAAGATAACCAGACTAATGCGAGATCTGATGTCGTATTTCAGGATTTTCCAATGCAATATGTAGGAATTACCAATTCTGCTAAGAGAAACAAATTCGGAGCCTTGACACTTATACAGAAGTGTTTTGTCTAGATAGATTTGTCTCTACTTCTTAAGAATGACTGATTGACTGGTTGTATGTTGTTTGAAGCCACATTCGAAAAATTTTCATTCATATAAGAACGTAACCATATGCCGGTGAAGGGCTTTAAATGAAATATGTAAGATAACGAACAGTGATGGATCTTAAGATCGATATGCATCACTAAGGGCTGATCAGCAATGAGAGATCTTACCGTGCTAAAGCCTACCAGGCGCTTGGCGAATTAATAATCACTAACTATGTTTACGTCTAAGGCTTGAGGCGGCACGGCAAACGAGAATCGAACATGGACATACCGATCACGAAGCGAATGACCTACAAGAAGGCGACTCTGAGCGGTTTCTAAGAAAATAAAGATTAGCAAAAATATGTGAGATTATACTTAGAAATTAAACTTCAAAAGTTTTTTGATTCATGTTAGCAACGAAAATTGTTCAACATTAGTAAAATGAGCGGAATGTTAAAGATTTAAACCTAACTGCATGACGCGTTTCCATAAACAATACAACCAAATTAAAGATGCAGAAAGATGATAATAAAATCGATATAAAAATTTAAAAAAGACATTTTCTTCAAATGATCAAAGAGTTAAAGAAATGAATAAATGCTGTTATAAAACAGTTTTAACTACATGAGTAGCAAGGGAAGAATCCACAACAATTCTATAATTTGCAAAAAAGTCCGTTTTCGACCCCAAATCGCCTCCAGGATGAAACCTTATTTGTAAATCGGAATTCCGTTGCATAAATGCACATCTACAGGACCAACCAGACAAATTCCGAAATATGATTGGGCTACTGTGCACAATTAGTTCAGGAAACAAGGTTTATGTAAATAAATAAATAAAAAACTTCATTTTTACCCCCATTTGGACCCCATGATGAAAATCAAAATTCTGAAACAGGACACCACCAATCACCGCAACAGTAAGCAAAACGTCTGTTTCAGTGGTTCTGCCCATTTAGGAAGTACTTTAAGAGTACGTATGATTGCCAGTAGACATTGCAGAAAATAGAAATATCCCTGTTTTCATTATATAATATTACCCTTTTCAAAGCTTTACAGAATGAAAGGAAACATGAATCTACATTCTGATTTTTTTCTTATGCTTAATGATTTTCCCTATCTAAAAGGTACGTTCTTCTAGAATCTTAAACCCAGGCAAGGCACTGACTAATAAGTTGACGTCACAAGGATTTCAACAACCCTATTGTAATTCAGCTTTTTCGCAAATTCTAAAGACGATATATTACTCTTATTTGTACATGTAACCTTTCGTTCGATCGTATTTTGTCTGACATGTTTCATACGATTTGTTAGGGCAATGCTTAATGCTTTAATACTAAATTTAACTACAGATTACTCTATCTGAGTAATGCATAGGGCCCATAGTGGGTATGACCGGTCGACAGGGGATGCTTACTCCTCCTAGGCACCTGATCCCACCTCTGGTGTGTCCAGGGGATCATTTTTTGCCCTGTGCACGATTAGTTTTGTTTATAGGATTCATGAGATTCATCACTGTTGTTATCGTCATCTTTTACGTGGAAAACCAATTTTTTCCAGATAATTTTGAGGCAAATGACGGATGCAAAAACACCAAAAATCCTATTTGAATTGATAGATTAGGTTTACAGCATTTTATTCATTTATCTATTTTCTCTTCAGATTCATTTATCATTCCTCCTAACTAAAAAAAATTAATGCATAAATAAAAAGAATATTTTAAGAAGTATACAATATAGAATGCAACGGTATGAAGAACCGCTTTAATAGCAATATCTTTAATATTAATTTGTTTTCAGCTAACCTGTAAAAAATGGAATTTCAGCAGTCCGACCATTATTAGTTTCAGGTCCTTGGAGAAAGTGAATCTTGATTGATCATCTGCTTGTTGTTTTATATGTCAAGGCTGATTAAATCTATTTCACTGATCCTGAAGTGGGAAATGTTTGATAATTTCTGAAGAAAATATACATATTGTAATTTAATATCTAGGTATAAATGCACAAATATGCTTGTATTCATATGAAGTAGAATTTATTCAAAAACTTCTACATGAATGAAGAAGTGTCTTGTTGTGGGCTACATTTAGATATATAGACGACTTTTATTCATATTCATTCTTTTGTTGATTCGATATATTCTTCTGAACTCGTAATATAAATTTACTTCATATTTGGATATTTCACTAAAGAAAGACATAAATGACAAATTAACAAAACTTTATGCTAAACGTGACGACTTCAACTTTTCTATCGTCAACTTTCCTTATTTATAAAGCAGCATACCATTATCACCTGCATATATGGAGTTTATGTATGCCAGTTGATTCATTACGCAAGAGCATATTCTACATACGAACATTTTTTAAAAGGACACAAGCTATTGACAAATAAGTTGATGATTCAAGGATATGAACAGTTGTTTGAAGTCAACATTTCGCAAATTATAATGTCGATGCAAGTACCTTGTTAGAAGATCTATTATTAAACCGAATGTTTGTTTTTTTTTTTTTTTCATACAAATTGTTTAACCATTATTTTCGCACTGAATTGGCTGCGGAATTTTTCCTTTGCCGGATGATGATAAACAGCGGTTGTGGCCGGTCTGGGTTTCTTTCTCTACCATTGCACCTTATCCCATCTTTGGTGTTTTCAGACTCTGCTCAATTTATTGTTGTTCCTTCGGAACTTTGAGCTTGATTTCTGTTTTTTTATTTTCATATTTCAGAATACCGGTACGTAATGAAACTCTTGGTATAAGTTTACTGCCTTAAATGCATTTCTGATGCACTCATATCCATGAGTGATTATATGGAGAAATTAATTGTTATTAAAAATTGTAATGAATTATAATGATAGCTTATCGAGTAAATCTTCACTAGCGTATAATTACATACATACATTATAAATATTGCAACAAATAATACTGTAACAAGAGCTTTTCACATTCATAAACAGTGTTGGACAGGTGCTATAACAAAAGTAAACACACTTCCCAAGTATAAGTATAATCTCTTAGTCAAAATTAAGCAGTTCAATGCACTTCGCCATACTATGTCGTACATAAATATTTTTAAATAATTTCCCCTTTATTTATTATAAAAATTTCAAATTCAAACAAAATGGAATTCCTATTCTATTTTTTTTACGGGAAAAATTTTCTCCTATCTCCAAACTCTGTGCGCTATCAATACATGTACGAGGATAATCTGACTCTACTCGATGCTCTTCTCTGTTTTTCGTAATATGTGGATTTTAAATATATTTCCTGACGTATAGCAGAGTTTATATATTTAAACAATTGCATAGGATGAGTATTCTCCACATCTACACGTGAAAAAAAAATGAGTTTGTCATTGTTAGAAGTAAAAATAGAGAACCTGTTCGTTTTCTTACAGGGAAAATAACATATATCACCAAATTAAAACCATATAGCTAAAGCACAGGCACTTGTTTCTGTAATAGTTTTTAAACCATAGTACAATGTTAACACAAAGTATCTAACTCCGAATTATATTAACCCCCACCTCTCTTTTACAGAATCGCAGTCATCTACACTCTCAGAGAAAATGCACTGGCATCATAATTTATCTACAAAATCACATTTATCATGCTTGTCTTTATTTTCTTTTATCTACATAGAAACATATACAAGTATAAGCATCAATTAAACATTACCGTAACATTTTAAATTTAAGAACTATGCACAATCCTATTGTATATTTATTACAATAAAATATGCTTAAATCAAGGTCTATCTCAAGCAATTTCTATGAAACACGAGGATTGTCCGCTTGATGAATATTAGCTTCTGATTGTTCAAAATTGGAAAAACAAAATTATTTTGATAATTTATTTGAAAGAGAGTGATGAACAACTGAATACAATGACAACAGGTCGATAGAACAGGTATGTCATTTACGTATCACAGCCTATTCCATTCAACTCTAAGCTAAGATCTTTACCTCAGCAATATTTTTTCTCAGCATGATGAATGAAGGAGACAATTTCCCCTTTAGGACAAAATTTTCAGTTCATTAAAAAATTATATTCTTCAAAAATTTTGTTGTCGGTAATTTTACTTTTATTAAGATATTTAATTCCATTATTTTATTAAATTTCTCATTGATTGAGTATTTGTTATTATATTGACAGTATATTTAGTGTAAAATAGGTCTAATATATGAATCAAAATTGATTTTTTTTTTTTTTTACAATCGTTTGTTACTTTTTTTCATCACTCGATGCTGTTTGGGTTTCCCAGATTTTCTCCATTCCTGCTTTGGAAAAACTGGTCATCAATGGTATGATCCCCTGAATCATCCACTAATTCTGTATAAGGATGGATATTTATGTAATCAATGATTGTTTTCCTAACATGCACTGCATCTAGATAGGATCCATCCGCATTGTTAGGTACAATATATGGTCCCTCAGTATTGAAATTTCTCTGTTCTGAAAATGCCTGTGTTGTGCTCTCTATTCTTGGTTCGGGTAAGCGTTCATAACCCTCGTCCATCTCTTCTATGATGTCATAATCGGGATCAAGGTAAGGACCATTTGATACAACAAAAGTGGCTTCGTACTGAGGACTTCCTGTTTTTGGAATGCTGGGAAGGCGCATTAAGTCTTTTCTTCTTTTCTTCAATAACATTGTTCTGTGATTAAAAAAAATGAATTCTCTTTCTGTTCAAGTGTCTTCAAGGCTACAAATTAGCAATTCGTTGGACGTTGAAACTTTGAAATTTCTTAATCTAATGAATATTTTAATAAAAAATAAATATACAGACTCAATAAAACATTTGTAACAATGAATGGTGAAAATGGGTAGATTCAAGAAATTTATGTTCAATTTTGAATAGAATAAAAAAAAAGCAAGATGGCATTGGTTTGAAGGTGACACGATACCTATTGTTGAGACTTTGCTTTTAAAGAAAAAGAAGACATAAGTATGACCAAAGGGAAACGCATCACTGAAAATGCTTACTACGAAGAAACCAACGGAATATGAATGCGCATAAATACAGGTATCTTTAACTGAATTTATTTTTGTAAATCTACGTGACAAATATTTGCAATGTTTGCTACATATTACTGTATGTAGGTCATGAACAAATTTCAATATCGCAAGGGCATACTCTAGTTAAAATTAAAAAAAAAAATTAAGTAATAAATTGTTTCTACATATCTTGTAGTCAATGGAAAGTGTTGCTGCTTTAAATAGAATTCGCATTTTATTAGTTGAAATTTCATGTTATCTAGCTCTATTCCAAATATGTGTGAAATAATCCAAGTATTTTATGTGTTTATTAAATAATGCTCTCAACTTTAGGAAAGGAGCATCCCTTTTCAAGTTAATGAATGTTTCCGTTATGTATGTTTATTAAATGGTCAAGATCTATAAAGTGTATGCCCTTGCGAAAAGGCGATTTGATGAAGCACCTCTTCGTGAAACATGTAAATCCTGTACAAAAAACACGGTAGAATTAAAACAATACATTCTCATGATAGTTTTTAAATAATGACACTTAACAAAGGTTTCAGATTTGTATTAATGGTCTATCTAACATTTGTAAATAATGTTCTCTTTAATAGTAAAATGCAATTTTTCACTGTGAAAAAAAGTATTTGATTCGCCTCTCACTGCACCAAATATGCGTCAAATTTTACCATGATGACGTCATGTAGACAAGTGCATTACGATCAGTGGCTTGTTAACATCTTGCTGTGTATGATTTAACTAGCGATAAAAATGAATGCAGTGGTAAGTTTTGACGTAGTTCATTACTCTTATGCAGTTTAAAATTGCACATTATTTCATTTTCTATTATTGTGAGGAATTGCTATTTTTGTGTGATGTCACAGTAAGCAATTCCCTTATAATTTAAGCCCCGCCCCCTTTATGCAGCCTTAACAGAGCTGCGAATGATAACGTAGGCATGTGATATATATATATATATATATATATATATATATATATATATATATATATATATATATATATATATATATATATATATATATATATATATATATATATATATATATATATATATATATATATATATATATATATATATATATAGTGTTAAAGCAATGATACCAAACAAAGCGGATTCATTTCTTAAGATAAGTGTTAAACATGAAAACGATTTCATATCTAAATTCACATTATAAAGGAGTTAACATAAAAAAAAAAAGAAATGAATAAATACTGCTAATCAGTGAGAGAAATTGCAAGACTCTTCCTGTCCATCTCAAGAAAAACACTATAGTTAACTAAAGTTTACTATAGTTAACTAAAGTAAATCAAAGTTTCAAAGTTATCACAATAGTAAATCAAAGTTTCCATAGTGTCAAAGTTATCACTATAGTAAATCAAAGTTTTCATTGTGATCATTATAGTAAATTAAAGTACAACGTTTAAACTATGGTAAATCAAAGTTTCAAAATCATTATGATTTATAAATGTTTTAGACATGAAGCATGAAAATTGAAAGTTTAAAATTTGTTTCCACAGTACGTAATTTTCTGTGATACATGTAAAAGGTATTTAATTTCACAACATTAGTATTACCCAGTTTTGCAGATTATCTCAATTCCCAAAAGATATCTATTTATGTCTTCTATTTCAAATAATTAAATGTACCTTGCATGCAATTCACTTTTTGCATTCAATTTTATCTTTAATTTCATACTTTTCTGAAAAGAAACTATGGTTTTCAAAGACTTCTACGGGAATACATTTCTAAAATGAATATTGTTTGGCTTTTATTTCAAGTGACCTTTTTTTATATTAGTAAATAACATAATTTAATGTTATTAGGCATTTAACAAGACATACGGAGTAACCATCTTAAATACAATGATATCGAGTAAATTTGAAGGATAACTTTAATTACTCAAAGTTTTCATAGTGAACACTATACATGTAGTATTTCAAAGTTTTCATAGTGTCAATTTATCACTATAGTAAAGCAAAGTTTTCATAGTTATCACCATAGTTAGTCAAAGGGTCAAAGTTATCACTATAGTTTTCATAGTGTCAAAGTTATCACTATAGTTAACTATAGTAAACTTTAGTGTTTTTGTTAGGGATTACAGAAACAGGTCAATATGAGCCAGTTTAGGAGGATGAGATAAAGAAAAATGAAAACTGCAATGAATGCGGTGAGCAAATAAAATATCATCACTGTCAACTAAATTGAAGGTAAAATTTTGAATTATTAAGGTGTTCTTATTAATAACAATAAAGCTCTTTTAAGGGTCGTAGCATTGCGTATCACTTAATATTCTGATATAAAAAATGAATACAGACCTCATTTTCAATAAGCTGATTACCAAGATGGCGACAAAAAGAAGAAAAAACCCAAATCCCACGAGCACTGAAACAGATATTACATAACTCCTACTGTCAAAAAAATAAGAACAACCATGCATTCCTATCTCTTTTGAAATAAAAATAAAACAAATAGACAATAAATTAAAAGCAGAACATAACCTTGACCAGTTAAATAAATCAGCTTTAGATGAAAGATATAGAAATCCTACAGCTATAGAAATAAAGTTTACCAAATTCTCATAAATTAAAATATAAAACACATCCGACAATTAATACAAAATTTACAGCACTGATATGACAAGTACAGTACCAACCATACCCAACCTGACACCTAAGCAGTCCCAGAAAGCAGTCCCCGGGACTGCTTTGGGACCGCTCTGGGACTGCTATGGGATCGCTATGGGACTGCTCTATAAAGCAGACCCAGCAGTCCCTGGGACTGCTGTGTTCACTCATGCGTGTAAAAGGTTCTGAGTGACATGATAGCTCCGCCCCTTGTGTATTCTGAATTTGCAGCTCCCTGTTGTTGTTTTCTGCAGAGAGGTGATAAAAAATATAAAGAAAACAAGTATTTCTTACAAAAATTAAATAAGTAGAGATAGTTATACACGTAATTACTAATTCTCTTCAGGGGCTGTAAATTTACACAATTGTAGTCTAGAATTGATTTTTAAAAATGAAAGTAGTTAAAAAGGAAAGTCAGGGGATGATTTTTATCCCTTAAATTAAACTTCAATACAGGTGTTTGAAAAAAAATATCTAGGCCTATTTAATAAACTAATGCAGTCAAATTATGTATTCAAAGTTTGCATAAGCACAATTTCAAAAAAAAAAACAAAAAAAAAAAAAAAAAAAACAAAAAAAAAAAACAAACAAACAAACAAACAAACTTATATTTCAGTAAGATATTCAGAGTGACGTACTGTACTGGACTTTTTTTCTTAATTGAAAAAGTTAATACATGCTTATAAAAGAGCACCCCATGCATGCTTTTGTTTTACCGCCCTCAAATAAAACCTAATACTTTATTAAATGACCATAAAATAAACTTATTCTACCATTCTTCTGTCACATAAACAATGTGACCAATTATTGGAGAATTTATTGAGGAATTAGTTTTTATCACAGACTACCACTAAAAACAAGTGACACCATTTCTTAATTATTTATTAAGTTTGGCATCATATGGCCACGGCTGGTTGCAAATCAATTATTTAAGATACATGTGTTCAGTGGGTGCCGACCCAATTGGTTTTTGGCACACCTTCAATCAAAGCAAACAATCAATCAATCAATCAATCAATATTAACTGTACACATGTCATTTTTTACACTATAAGACTGGCGTTTGCTTTCCAACTTTTGCGGTGCGCCAGCCTTATAAAACAATATTCAATCAATCAATCAATATTCAATTGAATCAATCAATATCAAGTTCAATCAATCAATCAATAAATTTATCAATTCAATTAATGAATATCCAATCATTTAATGAATATTCAGTTGAATCAATCAAAAAGTTTCAGTCCAATGAATCAATCCATTTTCAATAATATCAGTCAATATTAAATCAATCAATCAATATTCAATCAATCAATGTTCAATCAATCAATGTTTAATCAAATCAATCAATCAATATTCAATCAATCAATGTTCAATCAATCAATACTCACTCAATTCAATGAATTGTAGTAAGTTTATGTTTAAGCCAAAAAATATTTCAATTAATCAATCAATGTTCTGTGTTAATCATCAAGTCAATTAATTGTTTTTCATCAATAAGTCATCCACATAATCAAGTTGCACTTGCACCCTGTTAACAGCGACGCGAGTCAAGATGATTTGTGTTAAGCGTTATATGATGTATCACTCCAACTGGCTCTTCGTTCTGTCAATTACAGAGACAATACTGTCCGCATAATAAGATGACCAGCCGTGACGATAAATGGGTGTTGTCTAGTCCTTGATCGATAATTATCCTGTTGCAGCTTCACCCTGTTTAGAGTCAATAAGCCAATACGATTGGGTGAGCGAAGTCCTTCCTACTGGTACTTGGAAGTGTCCATCACGATAGCATTTATCACTGTATGGCAAGGAATGGCAGCTTTGACCGGTCGTGACTATGGCAAGGTCTTAGAATGATTGACAGCTTGGCTCCTTAGGCCTCTTTTTCTGAAATCAAGAAAAGAACTCAGCGCAGAAAACAACTCAAAAGTAATATGGGGTGAGGAAGGGCGGGTAAATTTTCTTAAAAATTCTTAGCAAACCCTAAGCGTGTAACATTTGGAAATGGTGTGAGAATGGAATGTACAAATGCTTGCGCATATATTGCGCGCGCATCATTCCACGTGGTGCGCTGTGATCAATGGATTTATAACGCATTCACTTCATAAATCCGATTATCACAGACTACCACTAAAAACAAGTGACACCATTTCTTAATAATTTATTTATTAAGTTTGGCATCATATGGCCACGGCTGGTTGCAAATCAATTATTTAAGATACATGTGTTCAGTGGGTGCCGACCCAATTGGTTTTTGGCACACCTTCAATCAAAGCAAACAATCAATCAATCAATCAATCAATATTAACTGTACACATGTCATTTTTTACACTATAAGACTGGCGTTTGCTTTCCAACTTTTGCGGTGCGCCAGCCTTATAAAACAATATTCAATCAATCAATCAATATTCAATTGAATCAATCAATATCAAGTTCAATCAATCAATCAATAAATTTATCAATTCAATTAATGAATATCCAATCAATTAATGAATATTCAGTTGAATCAATCAAAAAGTTTAAGTCCAATGAATCAATCCATTTTCAATAATATCAATCAATATTAAATCAATCAATCAATATTCAATCAATCAATGTTCAATCAATCAATGTTCAATCAAATCAATCAATCAATATTCAATCAATCAATGTTCAATCAATTAATACTCACTCAATTCAATGAATTGTAGTAAGTTTATGTTTAAGCCAAACAATATTTCAATTAATCAATGTTCTGTCAATTGTTTTCCTTTGACCAGTTATCAAAATAATTATGTTGCAGCCGCGCCCTGTTCACAGCGGCGCTAGTCGAGATGAATTGTGTTAAGCTAAATCCGCCAAACGTGCATAGTTACTCATGTAATATGCACGCCGCCACAAACGTGGAGGTAGCTTAACACCCTACTCACAAAACCAGCCGTGACCCCAACCATATATATCAATGATACTACTTCTACTATAAATGATAATATTAAATCAAGTTGGCAGTTCATTATGTTTTTAAGACCGCTTTTAAAAATTTTAGCTTACTGCCAGACGAATTGAATATATAAAATATCCTCTGTTGTAACTAGATTAATGATGCTTGGTTACTGAGTTAATTACTTTTGCGATCTTTTTCCTGATCGAACTTCACCATCACAACTGGAAACGATACTGAACTGTTTAAGGATTCGGCAGTTTTATCAAATGAATACATATCTTTACACAGCCAAGGTCATTTGCCCCGCAATAGAATATCAGATTAGGAACCCCATTCTAGCACATTCCTCTCTCGCTTTGTTACATCATGCTAAAATTTACTGCTATAGAAGCCTGTGATTAAAATGAACAGATGAACCAAATATCTCGAGAAAAAGTTCAGATGTCTTTCTTGTTTTATTGAACTGCAAGGTTTATAATCTATGAATGATAACATTTGAATTGTTCTCTTCCTAATAATTTAATTGATTCGCATGAAAGTAAGTAGCTTTTCAAGTTCTAAAAGAATATAATTTACATGTATAGTGCATATAGTTATATTGAGGCACAACACATGTGGTTTAAGGTTATATAAATAATAAATTACGAGGAACGTTTGCTCTGATTCGTAAATAATGGTGCATGACTAATAATTAACAATACAGAGAGTAACTGTGCCTCTTTACCTTACTGGCCACCCCCCTGCAGTTTAACGTCTACGTGGTGAAAGTACTCGTTTATAACGAGGTCCTACTTATGCAATGCCGAGTTTGAACTTAAAGTGCTTAGTATAAAAAGGGTTTCTTACTAAAGATAGGCAATTATCTACTGTTGGATACATATTAACATTAATCAAAACATGAGATGGAATACACTATTTATTTATAAATTGATGATGATAGTATGATAGATAAGATTCTTTATTTTCAAATCAGGGCCCTTTCAAGCATCACAAACAACAAGCATGATTTCTACAATTACAAACAGTACAGACAATTTATGTGAATACTAAATAATCTACAGTACATGTATTTTTATATTGTAAAATTTGACACTGTATATGTAAGTTATGTTGATAAATGAAATAGTACTTCCGTGATGATAACATGTGAAGTGTGATCAAGTAATTCTAAGATGGAGATCTCAATTTAACAAGGTAAATCTAAAAACGTGTATAAGCCATTTATAAATATACTAAACACCAAACCAAACTGTATAGATCTTACATATTTTGACGTCTGTTTATAAAGTTGTGTGATCTAATCGTAACCAAAATAACTTTACTACAACTATATAGGTGTATAATCATATGTGGCTTTCCCGCAGCCAGTACGTCTGCGCTTACCGTGCTCAGCTAAAGAATATTACTGCTTAATCAGCCATATCGGAAAGAAATAAATATAAAGTGATTCAAAATTTTAAATGACATAAAAACAAATGGTCTTCATACAAATGAAAAGTTGCTGCATTTTTATGCCAATCATTGCATCGTGGGAACGCTGTTAACAGCGCGGGAAGACGGCACTGAAAGAATTGCATTTCATTTGAAGTGACTTTTAAGATTTATATGCCCTTCCTATCAGCAAAATCTTAGGTTTAATTAGCTTTTCGTCAGAATACAAACTTGACATGTATCAATTTCCAAACCCAGATGAATTAATTTTGTGACGGGAGCAAATGTTCTACGCATTGAAGAATTCCCAATGCTGACAAAAATCGCCAAACGTGTCATCAATTTTGAGCGGATGTCGGAGTTGGCTGAACTTGCAAAACAGAAAGACATCAAGATAAATAAATGCGTATCATATTTCGAACCAGACTTTGACCTGACGGCCCATTGAAAAAATATAATATTTCATTTGTGTTTAATTAATTTATTAATCACTTTATTTACTTATTTATTTGTGACGATGTGTAACAACAAATGGAAGGCGTTTGACATAGTAGTTATTCGAAGCCAAGTACGCAAAAAAATCATCTGGTTTTCTTGACAATAGTCTAAAAACGATTTTTTGTATCCATTTGCCAGGTAAAGATCTTATCAATGGTGCTATCATACCGATTATGGCCCTCCATCTATAAAATTTTGGGTTTATTGTTATGTGGATATTGATCCCCCCTCCCTGATTTACGGGCCTAGTTTTTGATAGAGATGTTAAGAAAAAGAACAGCCATTCGCCCATAGGGATTTCACTCAGCAACATATACTGAATTTGTCTTGATACAGATCTGCTGAAATTGATTTCAATTAATTAATTAATTAATTTGCTCTTCACTCTCTAAATTAAATTTAAAACCATTTCTCAACTCATCGCCTAATTCTTGCTTTGGTGGAACATGACATGCATAAATATTGAAAGTAGTTTAATATTTACTTAAGAATGACCGATGTTTATTAATTGAATGCATGCCTAGGAGTAACGAAATTTAAGGTTTTCTGTTTGAAAAAGTGTTTCCTCAGGCCGGGGTTGCTGATTTGTTGAGGACGGACACGAAGATGTTAATCGAAGGGAGAACAAGCTTAAAATACGTATTTTATAACAATATGCACATATATACACAATAAGTAACGACAGTTGACATCAAAACACTACTCTTTAAATTGTATAAGGGATGCTAGCGAGGACAGTTAAATATTACAAGTGAGGATCAGGTTAATATTGCACGTAATGCAGCCATTACTTGCTATAAACTTAATTGATTTGTTTTTATAAATAATACATGCCCCTCTTTCAAGCTCATTGGTTGGTGAATAAATAAATTAGTCTTATTATTATAGCCTCATATATCGATAACATTAAGGCTCCAAGAAGTACATACTCGGGCGCTTACAACATCGGAACAATGACCGACGATGCCGAGCACGCGTAATTCAATTCACTGGGAGTTTTATGGAACCCGATCTTATCGTGTGCATAATTATATTTATATTGCTCTAAACTCTGTGGTTGAAGGGGGTGTGCTTAAATTTAGATTCTACTAAATGCAATACAGACCAATTGTGATGATTAGCTTATTCTTTGCCTTTTCCCACTGATTTTAACAGAATGATCGGTTAACTGTCCATTTAGTATTTTCTTGTGCATTTTTTAAAAATGTAATTGATACAACAGTGAAAATATTATACTAATAATTGATGTAGGCATACAAGATGACATACCGTTTGTGTTGTGTGTAGTAGTATTATGCATGTCCTCCTCATTGCATGCTGGTATTGCCGTTATTCTCTCACTTCATTTTGTAATGCCTTGTTTGGCTTTGGCGACTATAGATGTTGTGGACATCTTGGTCAATATTTACAGCAACGATACTCCTACAAGTAAGAGCCTCGGCTAACGTCCATACGCTCCTTACAGCCCTTCGGCTCAAAGTCAAAAACTCTAGCATGTTGAAGTACACTAACGGTACATTTAGTACAAACAAACAGTAAAACCTCGTCTTTGTACGCCACAGTCTTTTGACAATGTCATTGTGCAATATTCTAAATTTTCTTAAAAATTCACAGCAAACCCTAAGCGTGTAACATTTGGAAATGGTGTGAGAATGGAATGTACAAATGCTTGCGCATATATTGCGCGCGCATCATTCCACGTGGTGCGCTGTGATAAATGGATTTATAACGCATTCACTTCATAAATCCGATTAATTTATAAACAAGTTATTAAAAGAGTACATTTATATATATTTAAAAATAAACATTTGAAAATATCGGGAATTGTGACTTATTTCGTACTTGTTTTGTTTGTGTTTACCTTGCCGATTAATAAAGAGCAATACAATGATATAAAATTGTGTTAACACCTGAGGTTTCAATCGCCTTTGGACATAATTAGCAGAAAGTCAATGCATGTTATTTGAGTATCAGTGTTACACATCACTGAACACGCTGGTCAACAATGACACTAATTTCAATCTATGTACTGCATAAAAAAAATCTTTGTTTCAATAATTGTGTATAAATTTATTTCGGGATGAATTAATTTTGAACATAATCTGAGGGTTCCATTCGCGTCATTTACAGATGTACACTCGAACATTTATATAATAAAACACTTAAAACTGAGAATCTAACGTTAATTAAATTGGCAAGTCATTGAAAATAATTATGACTGAAATATATAATACTCGGCAATATTTGACTAAGAATTTTTCAAAAGCTCCAATACTTAAGAAAAATGCATTCAGGGTATAGTATGGGAATCGGCCTTGCTCTATAATTATAAGATCTATTTAAAACTAACTCTGGTAGAAAATAAACAATTCAAGTTTAATTTTCTATATAAAAAATAAATAAATATTAAAACCAATATCAATCACAGAAAATAAAGAAACTGATTTATTTTGGTGAAAAATAAATATACCAAATAATTGTCTTTAAATATTCATGTTTTTAATAGATGTGAACATCTTCTTCGTTCAATAATTTATTATAATTTGTTTCTACACGCGTACTGTGATTTTCTTAACAGTTCAGAAATGACTGTCGCGTAATAATTGTAAATATTTATTGATACTACTCAGAAAGAAATGATCATCAATTTCAACTGCATTTTATAGTTACATTGTTTATTGGTAATCTCATTCTGAGTAAGCTCCGCCCATTAAGTTAATTAACCCCGCCCACCGGGACTGCTGGGACTGCTTTCTGGGACCGCTAGGACTGCTGGGACCGCTGTGGGACTGCTCTAGGACCGCTGTGGGACTGCTCTGGGACCGCTTTAGCAGTCCCAGAAAGCAGTCCCCCGGACTGCTCTGGGACTGCTGCTTTGTATCAGGTTGGGTCTGGTTGGAACTGTACATCTTAAAAATTTAAGTATCGGTATATTTATTCATGAAATTATGAATGACTTCAATTTATAGTTCATCGCAATGATGTTGTTTAATCTGTTTGACTTTATTTTTAATTGTTCTGAACATGATACTGATCACTTTAGTCCTTAATAAGTTGATATATTTTCCTTGAAAAAAATTGTTAACATCCTGCAAGGGCATACTTATTCATTTTTGAAAAGCAATAACTTAATTCTGTATCTTAATGACCAATTGATATTAGTAGGACTTGAATTCACAAAACTATTTCATTTTCAACTTACAGAAAAGCAGAGTCTGATTTATACTCGTCGTTGAGTCTTGAATTGCGCTTTCTACATCTAAATGGAAAAATATAATGCAATTTAATTCAACATGATGAGGAACTGTAATCAATAAAATTATTACCTTAGATTTTATGTAAAACTTAAGTAAATGTACATTTTCTTAAAATTAATGAAACTGATACGTTTATTATTATTATTATTTTTCTGTTTTTGGTTAAAATATAGAACATTATTTTATTTTTTTTCCTACTGACTACAGTACCTGGTGAAAAAAACTCAGTAAAGTTATTCTCTATGCCTAAAAAATGAAAAAAAAAAAAAAAAAGAAACAGTGATTTGTATATAAAACATATACACTGTATATTATCAAATTATTTCATATTCATGTACAATACGATTAAAACACAGCCCAAGCTATTACAGTTGTAAGTTATAGATATGCATTTATTGAGAAATATGCCTGCTTATGATGGCAACCATTGTTATTAAAGAGCTGTTGTGTTGATCTTCCAGTATTGATCCCTCAATTGTTGCATCTTTTAGGTTATTTTTTAAACAGTAGTGTTACTAAAGAAAATCTATATCACCATCTTAGGACCAACTATTCTTTAACGTTTTATGATACAAATGATAGCTATTACATGTTTTAGACATATAATGTGTATTTTCACACAATGAAACCATAACTCTCGTGTTCGAATGAACCAATTTCTGTTTGGTTAACATTTTTTCAACACAATCTGAAAGAGGACTGTAGTTATTAAGACAATTATATGTTATAGTTGTTCACTACAAATGACCCATAGACTATAATGGAAAATCACATTTTTCTTCAATGTTTCAAAAAAGTTTCTGGATAGCTTTTCTTATGATTGATTTTTTTTAATTTGTTTATTCATTGTAGTAGTAGAGGAATGTTTATGGCAACTGACTCTTGAGTAATATTATTCAAATTTATATCAAGAAAAAATTTGTCAACTCAATTTTGCCTATCAGTATATAATAATTAATTAAACATATGTACATATATAACAATAATCAAGTTTGTAAAGGAGTCTAACTTGAAAGGGGGAGACACCAGATCAATTCCTTGTTCCATACTTGTAGTTCCATCAATATATAAAGAATGAAGGATGTATGCTATTGATACAACACCTTAAATGGTACACTAAAATTGTTTAAAAATAGGTAGCAATGCTCTTTTATACTAATATATTATACTTTCATATACTAATATAAGCATGTGTAGAAGATTAAATCAACCTAAATCAAATATAGTCAAGTATATACTAGATATCTCATAATTCAGCATGACGTGACAGAAGAACAGGATGGATATTTTCTCAGAGGTGACCAGGCTAGATATGTAATGTAAACAAAATAACTGAAGGATTTCAAATGTAATTCGTGAATCAAGAAATATTTATTTTTCTCTCTTAAATTCAAATATATAGGGTATCGAAGAACAAAATTAAATTCGTTTTCATTTTCATGAGTGTCAGATACATGAACATGACTTAAATTATCCATACTTTCTTGCCTTGCTACCTTGCTGATTTTATTTAAAACATGACAATATGACAAAAATCAAAACTAAGCCAACTGACCGATTTTGTTTCTTCAATTTAAGGTCTGACGACACGTTCCTTGAATATCTGTTTTTGCATTCCTTTGTAATATATAAAAAATCTTTATAATAATCATTATCTGATCATTTCTTATCTATTTTCAAAACGTCTGAAAAATATTTAAACCAAAAATCGTGATATCAGCAGTTCAAGTAATTTGAAGTATAGAATGATATAGGAGATATCCTCCGGAATCTTACACAAATGCCCGGAAATATACCCCAATTTTTGGCGAAGAAACTTCTAAATGTAGCAATATATCAATCACAAATTTTTGGGAAAAGTTATATATATTTTAGGAAAGTGTCGTATGACCTTAATTATTGTAGGCAATAAGAAAATGCTAAATTAAATTATTTTCTTTAGTGACACTTTAGTTTAAAGAAAGTTCATCTAAGATTTAGAAGGTCTAAGAACCAGATTGCGTCATATTCTTTTCTAAAGAAATGAGAAAAGAAAATTGCTTACAAAAGTTGATTCTGGTCCAAAATTGTTTTGGAATCAAATTCATAAAACTATTGGCGATGCTTATTTTGTCTTTGGTCAAACAGGTGGAGTCCGTTTCATTAGTTACCCTTGCTAACACACAATTAGCTAATCCTACTGCAGTTCTATAAGAAGGGAAAAAAAAGACATTAGACATACTGGGTTGTATTGAAAAAGTTTAACATGAAATATATTATCACTTTTGGTTGGATCTTTTTGAAATACTTTAGAAATTCGAGTCACATTTGATGTAAAACATGCAGTATGAATTACACTCAATAGCATCTAGCAAAGAAAATGAAATATGTTATTTTTGTTGCATATAGTATTCAGGTGCAGAAGTTAACCATGATCAATAGGATATGTGCTAGAATTTTTTTTTCAGAATTGTCCCATTTTCAAATAGGGAAAAACCACAGAGAGAAAAAAGCACCTGAGATATTACAAGTTTGTTATCGTATTATTCCATTAGTGATATCAGTCATTCTACAAAAACGTAAACAAATAATAAATTGTTTTGTTAATTGATTGATTGTATGTTGCTTTAAGTCCGTTTCAAAAATTTTTCACTCATATAGAGACGAAATAATATAACGATGAAGGACTTCAAATTTAGACCTTTAGTCGGCACTCAGGACCATTGAGCAGTGAGTGATCTTTATTGTGCCGATGCCTGTCGGAACTAGGTTTTTAAGGTCTCGTCCGAAAGACCCACAACTTTCACTTCAAATTGCCGAGCGTTGGTGACAGAACAGTTTCTACCACTTTTTATCGATTAGGGTTAGTCAGGGTTTAAAACGACGATCTTCTGATCACAGAGCAAGCGTTATTTTGTTTTGTGTCGTTAACAAATTTAAAAGATCATCAATTTTAATGCTAAAACTAATATGTGGTTTCGTACATATTTATCTATATGCAGTTTGAGTTTTATCATGAACATAACATAATGTATAAAAACCTGCTCCATCGCAAATATTTATGTCACTTTACTCATTCACAACTTTGAAGATGAACATTTCACTCGCATAATCTTTTAGAATAAATTCCATGGAATATTGAATATTTTTTCCTTAATTAAAGGGAAAAAAACTCCTATCACAGATAAATGCATGGATACTGTATCATACGAAATTATTTCATGCAGCTGAAAATAAATTATAATTTTTTTTTAATTGTATACAAACTATGCAGATCTGACAATAAATTGGAACCAACCTAAAAGTGACCACGGAACCTGATGTTGCTGATTATATTTGTGAGTCAAATTATTAAGACCATAAATTTTCCGACATAACAAAAATTGTTGTATCTCTTAAGAATTTAAATTCCATAACGGTACTGCAGGGTTTTGCATTTAAGGTGTAAAACGGTTTATCATTTTGAAAACAAACGAAATACCTGAATCTTTTGATTAACATCATAAAACAAACATTACTTATAGCTATTACCGATAATGATAACTTTTATCGCTGAAAACTAACTTCCATAATGATAAACTTCCGTAACGATTGTTTTCCCAAAATTTTAATATAATATCAGATTCGTGCCAGATATTTAAAAACCTTTTACCTTTCCATACTCAACAAAAAGACGTCTTTTTAGGTTGATTTAAATAATAACGAGATGCAGTCATAAAGTAGTAATACCCTTGTATCAGGATAATGAAAAAGCCATAATAGTGATTTTATTATCTACATTAAAATATTTAAACATACACACATCTAATTTGGCAAAATATCATTTGGACCCATGAGCCTTTTTGTGTTAGTATTCCTTACCGGTCTAGAATTGAAAATTCTGATTGTTAATTCAGATTTTGACACAGTTTTTGAAATTTTTCTCTGTAAAAAAAAATAATAAAAGTATTTTTTAAAAAAAAAAAAAAATCAGTTTGTCATTGGAAATTAATGATTTTTTGTTAAAACAGCACATCATATAAAAACGATCGAAAGCTATTTTATGGGTAGCTAGTAAATTAAATCCTTTAACGATTCTTGAACATTTCGTCAAATTAATAACCATTTCTAATAACAAATTTCAAAGACAAAACTTTCTTGATTGATACAAATTACTTTTGTGGGAAATCATTTCAAATAATTTTTCTATAACTTGCTTTTTAAAGCTACTACTTTATTCTTGTTATATGAAATATTAAAAATGAAGATAACGAACAGTAATTAAGCTCAAAAGTCCATTGAGACAATACACATATAGGGAGCACAGCAAACACGGACCTCTAAAAACATCAGATGCCATGGAGGAGTAGGCATCCCCTGTCGGTCACACCCGGCTTGTGCTCCTTGTAATGATCTGGTAAACGAAAAAATCCGTTCACAATTCAGTGTGAAAATAATGGTCTACTAATGTATATGGAAAACGTCAGTCAACATTCGATTTAACGATAGATTGCTAACAAGCTTATTTTATTGACCAAAGGATTTGCGATATGATGACATAAACTCGATATGCAGGTGGTAATGTATATTGCTATATAAATTAGAAAAGTCGTCACCCAAGATGAACCATTTGATATAAACTATTCCGAACCCTAATAAGGAACTTCTAGAAGAATTTGAGAAAGACCTTTTCTACTTTCTATGGGGAAGTAGAATTCATATGTTTAAGAAAAACATTATAATTCAAGACTAGAGAAATGGAGAGTTGAAAATGATTGAATATATGGATTTTTTATGTGCATTAAAATCAACATGGATCCGAAGATTGATTCACTCGGATAGAAATTGGCTAAATTCATTGAATCAGAATTAGGAATGAAAATTGAATCTCTATGATATGGGTAAAGGGTTTAGACTTAACTGTTAACTTGTGTAATAAAAGTAACAAGTATTGGAAAGAGGTTTTACTTGATTGGGTCAAAATCATTGACTCTGGTAGCCAAAATAATATGCAAATTCTTCATGAACATCTATGGTTTAATCAAAGAATTAAAATGAACAACTCTTCTATATTATTATTTTGATGCAAGCTTTGTTTTTATAAGAGATCTGCTTGACTAGTACTCTGATGGAAAATTTGTAAGCCTTGAGTACCTCACAAATCTAATTGTAAAAAAAAAATTTTAGAATGTACAGGTTTAGAAGTAGCTTTTTAAAAAAAAAATGAAAAATATAGAAATTGAAAAAAAAAGAAATAAATGGACCATTTATCCCTAATTCTCTTTTATTTATTTTTTTTTTTACAAAAACACACAAGGCTGTGAAGATATGTACAGCATTCCCATTAACGAGGCCCAATCTACTTGGTTTGCGCATTCGTTTTCACGCAGCGTTGTTTCAGACGTGTCACAGTAACCTTAATTGCCGTAACAATTGAATACAGTAACGTCACAGTTAAAATGACGTCAAATTGCGCTTAAATATTTCACTATTCTTGCATTTCTGGTAGGTCTTGACTGTGCGTGTTGAAAGCATACTCATTCTGGCATTACTATCAATTCTTGTGTTTTTAATAATGATCCCTATAAACATTCTGCTTATAAAGGAGCGCAATTAGTACTTATGGGAATTCCAACAGCTTGTTGGAAGACCCGATCTCCAACAACTACATAGATATTATTATTCAGAAACTCAAACATCTCTTTAATTTCATCTTGGGTATTTATGTGTAGAATCAGAATGTATTTTAACAAAATAATTTTGCAGGTGACCAATGACAAAATATGAAATTTTTATTGAAAAAGCAAAGAGGCTCGGTAGAGCATTAGATCAGACTAGATCCCGCTTTATTTCTTTGAATGTAAGGATTTTGATGTATATTATGAATCCGGGACAAATATGGTAATTTAAATTACATTGAATAGGTTCTTTCATTATAGTTTTTAAAAAAAGAAAAGAAAAAAAAGGACTTACCGGCAGAGGATATCCATTGGTGTGTCCATGGTCAAATTAATAATGGGAAATATTTGCAAACAAGGACCCGCATATTTAATCAACTTAACAGCATCGGCGTAATTAGGATCAGTACATGGGGACTTAACACCTGTTAAGACAAAAGAAATTTAAAAATTAAATATTATTACGAGAGTCATCCAAAAATATGTAGAAAATATCGCTCTTCATGATATTATTTTCACAAGAATTATGACCACCACATCTTCAATGAACTTAAACATATTTTGTTAATTGTGTGAAATTTCTTTGCACTTGATTAAATGGAACCCATAATACTTTATCTTAAATTAAACATGTGTTTCGTCACCTCGGAACACTTAATTATATTTTAACGTCAAATCAACGTCATGAAAGTTTCTCACAATCATTTTCTCACACGGTTTGTAGCGCCTTAATTAACTCACTAAAAGATCTCCAAAATACTTAACACAATTTTGCCGCATAACTCTGCCTTTATAAGCCACATATCACTTTCCATGACGTTACTTAGTCTTTTGACCATTTTTTTAAAAATGAAAATCTGTTTCCTCAGACTATATATCGTCTTATTCAACGTCTCTACCCTTAGAACACTGTTTTACCATTAATATACAGATGTACGACTCACTTCTGGTATATTTCTTGGTTCCTCCATCATTTTTTGAGTTTGTTTTAGAGGTTCCCCGAGTGCGAAAAAAATGTCGCTACTCGCAGCTCCGTGATGTCTTTTAACATCACTTTTATTATAAAACAAAAGTGTATTTGAACGTTTTAATTTTATTTCGTTTAAGCGCCGTTTGTTAGAAATATAGTTATAGACATAATTAAGTGTATTGTTAGAAAATTACTCAATTTTGACCGTGCTCCGCAATTCTGGTTTCGCAGATTTGAATATTAAATAATTTGAATATTTATCATTAGTTGGAATTTTAAATTCAAATTACATGGACTTATTGTTAAAGTACGTCTTTCAAATTTTGTTACAAAACGAATTAAATAAAAAATTGTGATGACAAAAATCTACAAAATTTTTTAATGAACCTCGGACGTAAACAATAAAAAACATTCTGTTAAAAAACAATATTGACAACATCTGCTGATGAAATTTTTCATTCAAAGTCAATTGTTAACAGTGTTATTATTTTTTTCGGTATATTTTTCACTGCTTTGTTGATAGAGTACCGATTCTATTAAAACGACAACGATAAAAGTGAGATCAAAAATTTAGAATCTCATGACATATTGGTATTAAAAAAGTCCATTTTTACCCCTCTCAGAACAACTTTCTGCAGTCTGTACATTGTATTAATGGACTCATCTTAAAGATTCAATCTTCAGTATAACCTATGGTCATGTTGACCTGCTGTTTTGTTTTTTCGAAAAAGGGTTAATGTTTGATTGTTTGATTGTTTTCCTTTTTAAAAAATGTAAATATCGGTTAAACACACAATTGTAATGTCCCTGATTTTCTTAATGAAATATTAATACTTACACTCAGACAAAGACTTTCCTATTGACCTCTCTATTTTGCTTTGCATTTGCAGAAGAATAGATCTCGATTTCACTTCAGGACACTTCACACCAGAGGAAGTTTCTATTTGATTCTTCAAGCAAAGACCAAATGTTGAAATTAATCTGGAAAAGTTTCTCTTCTGTAATTTCAGGCAAATTTTCAAATTACAATAAAATTGAAAATTGTCTATTTAGTTTTCTTATACTAAACATTAATACAGTACACTATAGCTCCAATCTGAGTTTTCGTGTTAAATTATTGAAGCTTAATATATCAATGGGGATTGAACCAAGACGAAAAAAAAAAACCTTTCTGACTATCCAATTAACTATGTAAGTCATGATCACAAAAAATACTCACAATTCAAATCTTGTGTTGGAATGACCCTAGAGAAAAGGTGATGCATTTTCAGAAAATGTCTAATGTTTTGCTATTAAATGTTACTTTCAGGAGGTCCATCCTTTTAGCCTGTATGCTATTTGTTTTGCTTATAGAACTTATTAGATTACTCACAAATCGTTATTTTAACCAACTTTCACCGTATGCTTGGTGCTCGCTCTGCAGTTTTGAGGGGAAAAAATCAGTCATATTTGGAAAATAATTACATTAAAATGAAGTGAGTAGATATGTACCAACGTAAGAAGTCCGACTGGGGTTTTATTGCGATAAAACTACGACAGAGAAACCATTTTCTCATCATCATGTGTAACCTTAAGTAATTTCAGTGAGCATGCCAAGTTTCATGAAAGTATATCTTCTGGATATTGTTATGGACCATCTCCAAAATACAGATGCATTTACTATCGGATATTGGGCAATAGCGTATTTTTTGCACTTTCCAGGAAATTTAAAATTTCTTTAACAGACTTTTCCTCTCTGATATCTGTTTGTGAAGCGTAATACTACATTGTACATTATATGTAAAACAAGAAAGAAAAAAAAAGTAGAAAAATTAGCCATCTGGACTTCCAAATAAGACATCTCAAAATGTAAAATATTTACAAAACTTTTGTACATTTTTTGAAGTTCTACGAAATATTATAGATGCTAAGGATTCATTTAAAAAAATACTCGAGATTTAATACAAACTCTTTGCGTAAAGCGTCAGAAGCATATTTTTTACACTTTTTCTATTCTATCAATTGTTATTATTTCCTCCCTATGAGCATTTAGT